CACACACACACACACACACACACACACACACACACTTGCATATCTCACATCATTAATTTCCCATCTCTCCTAGAAAAAGGCCAGGTGTGCATTTAGCTGATGTGGAGGGACAGGAAGATGCAATTATATTCTTCCAACTGCAGCTTCTCTGTCAGTAAGAGGCGAGTCCATCCGTCAGTCCTAGGCTGTGTGACTACACAGGCCAGAAAGTACACAAAAGCACACAAGGTCTGATTCACTCTCCTTTCACGGTGTGGTGTCCAAGAAAGAATCACACCTTCCTCCAGATCCCTCCAGCTGATATGCCACCTCCCAACTCATTCACTTGCTGCCTTCAGCCCTGTATGAGAGTCTATAATGTGCCTCTATTCACCTAGGTCTTAAACTCATGTTTACCAGAGAATTTTTTTTTCAAATGTGGCCAATGTAATTATAAAGGCCCAGGAATTTCAAAGAATGACTCTTTCCAAGCAACGATACAAGAACATGAATTTGAGACTGCATCTTTAGTGAGGCCTCATTCTGTTTTAGAATCTCACTCACCAAAATTTGAAGTCCAAGTGTGTTTCGCAGACAACATGACTCCCTAGAATCCTCCTGTTCATAACCAAGCTGACAGCCTTTCACACCAACTTTCCCACTCGCATTTTTGCTTCTGCCAGGAAGGTACCTGGCTTCATATAAGCTCATCTATACCACAACAAATGGTTATACTGAGCTTTTTGTTGCAAGTAGCTTTAGAGTTTGTAATTGTATACTTGGTCCCATGGCCTAGATCCCGGCTTCACACCACACTGTGAGAACCATGAAGACAAAGGCTATTACTCTATCTTTTTAGAGACCACCAGCTCCCACCGTCCTGCCTCCCACCTTCCCCTACTGCTCAGATCATGAGTCAGTACATAGTGTACATGGTTGTTAACCTACTGTCAGACTTTCTGCTTTTCCTAGTTCTCCCTTGCTTATTGGGAATGCAAGCTAACATATACCAGGAAGAAGAAATGCACTCTTCTGACCAGAAAAATCACCCTGTTTTTCCAGTCCATAAGCTGACTTTTCCACTGGAGACCAAGGGCGGTTGCTGTCTTCTCACATAGTCTCCTCTATTTACCACCACTAAAAGAGAAGACAAGAGAAGGAACGGCTTTGACTTTTGATGGCTAATTTTGATCGTCAACTAGACATGTTTGGGGAACAGGAACCTCAACTGAAAAATTGCCCCCATCAGACCGGCTTGTAGGCATGTCTGAGGGGCATTTTTTCTTGATTGCTGATTGATGGAAGAATGCCCAGCCCTTTGTAGGTGGCACCACCCCTAGGCAGGTGGGCCTGAACTACATAAGAAAGCAGGTTGACCACAAGCCTTGAAACAAACTGGTATGTAGTGCTCCTCTGTGGTCTCTACTTCAGGTCCTACCTATAGGTTCCTGCTTTGAGCCCCTGCTCTGGCTTTCTTCAATGATGTACCAGAACCTTTAAGCTGAAATAAGCCCTTTCCTCCCAAGTTTGGTTTTGGTCACAGTGTTTATGACAGCAACAGAAAGGCAAGCTAGGTCACTTAGGATCTGCAGGACACAAAAAGCAAAGTCAAACAGAACTATAAGATCTTGGGCTGCTGTTGTTAGGATAAAAGCCAATGTTCATCCGGCCCAACCTTCACTTTGGGGAAGAATAAATAAGGCCCAGGTAGGTTAGTGATTGCCCAGAGCTACTTATTGGGGCAAAACTATAGTAGAAATGAAGTCATTCAGAAAAATGCTTTTTTTTTATCTGCTTTACCCCAGCTTCTGCTTTCCCTCTGCTCTTCTTGGTCTGATAAATTATAGTAATATATGGTAAAATAGAAAAGTAAAAAGTTAGAAACATGTCCAGAATTGTCTACTTCAGGTTCAAGTTTTGCCTTTACACTGGAATGGGGATCTGGGTGTGTGTCCAAGGCCCTATTAGCTGGGAACTGGCATGCTTCCTTGCTGATCTACAGAATTCCTTCAGGAAAAGCCAAAGGTGGGAAGGCCCTTTCCAAGTCAGTCACTAACATCCTGAGCAAGGCAAACCTCCCTAACGAGAATGTACTGACACTGAGAGTAGACAGTAGCATACATGGTACCTTTCCATCAGATAATCCCATCTCTTCAGGTAGGTTTCACATGTACACTAGACTGGGATCCATGATGAAGACTATTTCAAGGTGCCAGGAAGGGAATAAGGGACACAAACTTTATGAACACAAAACAATGATACTACTGACAGAAGAAGTCACAAGTGACATGAAATAAGAACCAGGAAGACAAGTCTCCATCTTCTTCACTCTCCACCCACTGACAACCTATGCATCAAATGCCACTTGACCCCATCCACTTCAGCACAGAGGCAGCCTTGTGTGGAACAAGTCAGCCAGCCCTGAATTTACCCTCAGCCCTATCTCCTACTTCTAGGTGAATCTGAGCAAGTTACTTTTCTTTTCTTACCTTTAATTTCTTCATTTATAAAATGGAGGTACATACTTGGTAGGATTGGGCAAGGATTCATAAGCTCTAGAAACTGCTTGACATAGCATCTGGAAACTAATAAGCCCTCAATATGTAGCAGCTAATTTTTTTTCAAAGCCTGAAATGATTTAGCTGCCTGAAAGACCCACAGGCTCCAGGGGAGAGGTGATGTTGTGACGGGCCTATCCCTAAGAAGGTCTCATCATTCCCTAACACAGCAAAGAAGTAAACGGCAGATATTTTCCTGCAAAATGATGTTTCTAGAATGTGGATTTCTTAGTGGAAACCCAGTCAACATATAGGACTCTCTCTCTCTCTCTCTCTCTTCTCCTCTCCTCTCCTCTCCTCTCCTCTCCTCTTCTCTCAAGCCTAACACTCAATGACAGCCTCAGAGAGGTGCAAGAGTTGTGACAACATGGATCCAAAGACTCGGTCCTGTGCATGTGTGTACTCATTGCTGTCCATCATGCTGCCACCAACCCTTCACTTAAAACTCCTGGCAGGATGGTCTCCTGGAAGTCCCAGGCTCACAAATCCCACGGGTAAGTAGACTAGAAACAGAAAGGACTCCATGGAAACCACCATCAAAGTTGTTATCCCTACAGTATCCAAGCATGAAGTCCTACTCTGGGAATGGGCAGTTCACAGAATCTGGTTTTCATTGTTCGGGCTTTTTGTTTGGGTGTTTGTGGTTTTTTGTTTTGTTTTGTTTTGTTTTTTGGGGGGAAGGGGGGTTGTTTGCTTGTTTGTTAATTTTTGGATCTAGGGCTCAAACCCAGGACCTTGAGCATGCTAAGTAAACACTCTACTGTTGACTTATATCCCTTGCCCAGAAGTACGTATTTTCAGACAGAAATGAAAAGAAGTCCTAGAATCTGAGTCAGAACTGTTCCAAACAGGATGGCTACACAAACATAATATGTTTGTGACCATGCTTTCAATCATATAACCAACATTCATCTCTACCTGCACAGACAGCCTCTGTTCAGTTAGTTCATACACAAAAGTGCCCAGACTTAAACAATAAGTACAATTACCCCATACTCCAAAGTGACAAAGGCATTTCCCTGGCCAGAGACTTAGTAGGTAAGAGCACTGCAGGAAGCAATAAAAGAAAAGGCCATCTTTTCCTGAGCACTGGAGACAGGAGCAATCCTATAGGAGACACCCTTTCACAAGAAAGGGAGCTCTATTTCCCAGTTGTCCCTACTGGGCACAGACGATGAAGTTTCCTCCAACATCTTACACCACACCTTCCAACCCCAGTGCAGGGAGCCCCTCTTCTTCTGGTTCTCACAACAAACTAGTGCTCTTATTTCAGCATTAGAAATTCCTCTTCCTTTCATGAAAACGCTTATCCAGGGCCAGGTTTCCCAGCCTCCCCTTAGGACAGATATTCTACCTTCCCCCCAGAGAATGATGTCTCTATGACACAGTGTGAGTCTCATTCCCCAAGAGTAAGAGTGAATGTTCCAACACACTGACCTGGGAAGGGAAAGGGCTTGAATGTTCCCAGATCTGAATTAACCACCAACCTACTCAGCCTGAAACAGTCACTGGCTCTGATGTGTCACAGTCACAGACCTGTCAAAGATCCCCACCTCAGATCCCTACCTCCCTACCTCCAAATCTATGTCCACCTTGGATAAGAGGCCAGACTACTCCCTTGGTCCCCACCAGAAGAAGGAATCCTAGATGGGGGATGCAGGAAAGTGTCTGCCATCATTCTGTCTACATCACCAACATAAAAGGCATAGAACATGAGTGATCTGCCCCTGAAGAGCATTCTGTTAGGGGAGACATCAAAATCTGGTGGAAAAAAAAGCAAGTCACCCTAGCCTGGTCTCCTCCCGGTACTCTCTACCCACGCCCAGTCTCAGGATAGGACCACACGTCTGCCCCAACTCCAGAGACACCCAGGCCGCCCTACACCAGTCCAAAGTCACCTCCAAAATCACATGTAGCCTTCTTCATAGAAACTTCACTGGAAGCTCAGCTCCTTGCTGAACACTTTCTCAACAGTCCCCAACAAAACTTGCCAGTGTTGGGGACTGGAGAGCTGCTTTTGTCTGGAGTCATAGAAGGGCTTTGAGAGGCTCTGAGGCTAGTGAAAATTCCCAGGCCCTCATCTACCAAGAGTGGGGCTCCATTTCTGTGGCAACCGGCAAGACTCCCTAGCTGTGGGATGAGTAATGCAAGCCACAAGTCAAAAGCCACCCCTAGGATCCCACCAAGGGCAATGCAATTCATTCGCTTCTGGAATATCCTAACAGGGTACTATTATCCAGGCTCGGGCAATTGCTGGAAATGGGAAGGACAGCATGCAGAAGAGATGGTAAGGAGCCTTCCAAGAAAGTCTGGCCCAGATCTGAGCCACCGAGGTCCACGCACCCCAACAGGTAGCAGCAGCAGGAGATCGGTGCTGCCACCAGAAGGGCAGAACAGCCGGGCTTGTGGCCACCCTGACACGGGCAGCCCCATCCTCAGCTTCGAAAACACAACCCCACTCACCTTGAATTAATGCAGAGTCCCGCGCTCGGCTGAAGGAGGGTATGCTAGTAATCCTGAGGCATCATTGAATTGTTTCAAAAGAGCAAAAGGGTGGGGGGAAGGGGAACGAAGGGAGGGAGAAGAGGGAAAGAGAGGTGGTGAAATTGAAGGGGAAAGAAGGTAAAGTCTACAGGAAATGATGAAGGGGAGAGAAAGAAACGGGAAACAAAATTAATGAATGAGAAAAGACAATTCCGGGGACGGAGGGAGAAAAAAAAAAAAATCTGTCTCCTGCCCACACAGTGCAAAAGAAATTCCTGGCAATCAGAAAGACACTTGCCCCTTCAGAGGGGACATCTGGGGAAATAAATAACAAAAAAATAAGAGAAGATGGGAGGGTATTCAAACGGAGAAGAAATCTCTCTGTCCAGGCAGCGCAGCCCCAGAGAGCTGTGCGGAGCAGGCAGGAGGCGGGCAAGACGAACACGGGAGCGCGCAGAGGCTGCGGGGAGGGGCAGGGGGGCAGTGCAAGGCTGGGTTTATCCACCGATCTGTGTAGTAACCAGGCTGGGGTCCAGAAAATTCAGTCAGGGTTTCTGCAAAAGTTCACTGACCTCAAACTTCCGCGAGTGATTTCCACTGAAGCACTGAATCTCCAGGCAGTTCCTCCTCCAACCCTGCTCCCCAATTCCCCTGTGCCTGAATTCTAGCCTCTGGCCTCACAGGGTAGGAAAAGTAGTCAGAAGAGCACTCATTACATCTAAAGAGAAATAAAAGCCACCTGGGCTTTTGCAGTAAAGAATGGGTAGTGGGAGAGGGCACGGTGTCTTGAGCCAAGCATTGCCCAAGGAAAGGGACCCCCAACCCAGGGAAGGAACCCCTCTGCTGCCGGTGACTTTTTTCCCCCTGAGGATCTCCTGCTTCCAGCTGAGAACCCTAAGAGAAGCCAACCTGTTCCCTGAGGACTGCCTTAAAAATTAGCGAGTCAAGCCGGGGTTCCCAAGGCCTGCTAGATGTATCTCTGGGTCTTCCTCTCTCCCATTTCTCTGGCTCTCAGCCATCTTTGCCAGAACACTGAAAATGCCTGCAAGAGTCATATGGGCAAGCCATATGATGGCGTTCCATCGCCATCAACTGATTCCAACAGAGAAAGGAGAGAGGCAGTATAAAGGAACAAGAAGAGGGCTGGAAGGAGATGGAGAGCCAGGAGGCCCACAGCAGCAACTCTTTCCTCTTAGTCCAGTGAGGAGGGAAAGTGGAGGGCTCTGCAGCCTGTGCTTGATCCAATGTTGCTATCCATGCCTCCCTAACAGGAAAGTCTGTTTGCAAGGTTCTCCTTGTGAACAGCCAGTATCATCGCTCTAGGTCAGATGATGGGCAAACTTCTCACCAAGCCCCCAAAAGAAGTTAGTCTAGTCTGTGTAATTTTCAGTAAACAGAGTCACTAGCCCCAACATTAAGCAAACAAAGCTTCATTGGATATTAGGGGGGAATGGGGCTGTTTATCATTTCTCAGAACAGAAGCTGATCTGTAAATCAACTTTCCCTCATTAGAGGGTGTGTGTGTACATTTAAACAAAAACAAACAAAAAAAAAAAACAAAAAAAAAAAAAACACAAAAAAACACCTCTGCAGGGCTGCCTTGCCTCCAAACCTGACAATCGGAGTTCAATCCCCAACCCACATGTTAGAGAGAACTAATTCCAGAAAGTTGTCCTCTGACATATACATGTGGCATGTGCACCCTCACACATACAAAAATAAAGAAATGTAATTTTTACTTTAAAATGCCTCCACACCCTTCTCATGCAGGAGAGAGGCCAGGGTCTTCCGATGTAAAAGGAAGTGCTCCTCCCCAGGGAGGAGCAGCATTAAAGCCAAGAATGGAAGGTCCTCCCGCTTCAGAGAATCAGCCAAGAAGGGGAGGTCCTCCCCCAAATCAAATCCAGGACCTACTGGAGCATGCAGGAAGGAAAATGATACTTGGTATGCTGGCCCCTGCCCACTACACGTAGACACACTGGCGATTCCAGCCACAGATGCCCTGTCCCATAAACAGGGCATCTACACCACAATATTTGAGCTTCATTTTTCTTTTCTTTTTAACTGAAAGTTTCTGGAACTAGACTAACAGAAGGCGGATGGTTCACTGGCTTGGAATCTCCTCCAGAGAAGAACATCCATGCTCACCCCCTCCACCATCAACAAACAACTATCATGCCCACAAACAAGATTCTCCTGAAAACCCCTTCCAACACTTGGGAGAGTGCCACTGGTCTGATGGCTCTGGAAGATCCCCTGTGCCTGTCCCCTGTGGCAGTATAGTTCTGATGGCCAAGGCCAACCCTCCGGACACACCTGCTAGTTTATTTCTTGTCTCTTTGGATACAAGTAATTGAACAATTCTAACAATATGCTGTGCTTTCAGACACAAAGAAAACATCCTTTTGATTCTTAGCCCATTTGAATGAGCCCTGGCTCATTCCCCTACCTCAGGGAAGTAGGGTGTGAGGAAGTAGACTCTAGGACCCCCAGCAGGGAAAAGGACACTCCTCCAAGTCTTCATCAAGGAAGAAGCACCTTGCAGCCATGGCTTAGGCCTATGCCTGACACTGCACTCCCTAATGGGTCTTTACTCCATACTGGGGCCATGGCTTCAAAGAAAAGACCCTGCTTTAATAATTCAGCCGGCTTGAATGCCATTTAGTATCCATAGCAACCAGTTCCCTGACATCTAGTTGTAGGCAGGATGTGGCTGGAAAGGGGGGGGGGGGAGGGAGGAAGGGAAGGAGGGAAAGGCAGAAAAGATAGGAAAAGAAAACCAGGTCAGATTTTGTCTGAACTTTCCCTTTCACTGGTCATCCTGACCCTCACAAGGTAAAGCCTATAGCTCTCTGCTCTGTGCCATCTCCTCACTCTGACTTGGCTCCTCCCACCTGGCCTCTGCTCTTCCCCTCTCTTCTACTAGAAACTGGGAGGTCCAGGTTCCTGACTCAGCACTCCAACTCAGCACCTTGGGGATGCTAGCAGCCCTTTGCTTTCCTTGTCTTCCTTTCCTTTAAATAAGGGGCTTGTGAATGTTTGCTGAGTCCTGCCAGATCTTACCATGCATAATTCTATGGTTCTCTCCCCATCTCTCCACCTCACAGCCTTTCATCTCTGTGCAGCTGCCTCTATCTCTCAGACTCTGTACCTGTGTTCTTGTTCTACCTACCTACATACCTATCTATCTATCATCTATCTACCTGTCTGTCTACCCATCTATCTACCTGTTTATCTATCATCTACCTAACATCTATTTGTTTCACCTATAAAGTAATTTTAAACTAATATTTTTAATTAAAATTCTACTTTCCCTTGTGAAAAGCATGCTGTCACTCCAGGATGGTCCTTCTTCATCCTGCAGGTTATGTATCAGACACCAGCTCTTCTCAGAATCCTCCAAGTCCCTGAGGTAAGGTAAGGATCAGCACTCCTCTTGTGAGTTCCCACTGCCCTGGCCAACCTCTGTTATGCAATTGTATTGCATGTTTCAATACAATTGTATTGTATTGCATTGCAATTGTCTGCTCATCTGTAGTTCCTCCAGCTGGCAGGTGAATACAAGAAGAGCAGAATGGTACCTTGCTTACTGCTCTATCCCGGGTGCCTGCTTCTTGGGAAGCACTTAGAGGGAGATGTTGAATGAAAGGGCAAATAATCTGCAACCACAGATTTCTCAATCACTGCTTGTTAAAGACTTGGGACACACCCATAAAGGACACAGGGAAGGTAGGGGTAGGAAGGGCTAACTGCGTACTATAAAGGATACAGAAACAAGAAGGTGTCTTCTTCTCCCCAAACTGTTGAGAGGATGAGGAACAGAGAGGGAACTTGATATAAAGGATCTACAATGGCTCAGCAGGAATGGTGAGAATGGCAAGGGGGTGGTCCCCCTCAGCCCATCTCAAAGCTACTCTGGCACCAATTGGGAAGACTCTGATGGTTACACACTCAGTGATAGCACTCTCTCCACATAGCAGTGCTTCACACTGCCTGAGAGCAACCAGCTCGGTGTCCTCTCCTGGCCCCGTCCTCCCTGGGAACAAGGCCACAAGGGAAACAGACGGAGGCTATGGTGTGGCTGCCAGAAGGACATGGGCCAGGTGGGTAGTCCTTTGGGACTCACGCAAGATGCTAATGTAGATTTCTGTCTTCGAGGAAGGAGCTACTTTAAAAGTAAAGAAAATATTCTGTAAGTAGGCATTTTTAATGGCCATACAAGACCTATGCATTTAAAAATATTTGGCTACAAATGTGAATGAAAGGCAAGAATTCAGGACAGGAAGGTTTCTCCCCAACGTTCAGTAATGAAGTCCTTCATTCATCCATCACTGGAAAGGTTAGATACACACAGGCACACATACACGCGCACACACACACACACACACGTGTGCACGCACACACACGGGGGGGGGGGGGAGAGAGCCCCAGTTAAATTGAGGCAGACCAGGTTTTACATGGTGTGCAGTCTCCACCCATAACCCAGGAAGCCAGGCACTCCTGGCTTGGTTCCCCAACCCTCACACAGCTTTTTCCCCCCAAATAATCCTTTAATCCAGACGGAGCTGCCTACCCTCAAAGATCTGCCAAGAGACACACAATCTTCTTGATATCATGCACAGACTGAGTGACACATTTCATTAGCAGACTCTCATGAGTTGTTCTCACCAGTTCAACCTCACATGCAACCTTCACATAGCCCTCATCCAACGCATGATCTAGCCATAAAAAAGCAATGAGCTTTAAGATAGACAGCTAGAAAACAAAAGGGGGAAAGGAAAAGAACAACACATACTTTCAGAAATGGCATGGCTTTATAGAGGTGATCGTCTCAAGCCTGAGTTTAAATCTACACTCATTGTTTGAGAAGTTCAGGCTGACTTTCCTATCCCAGAGAAATAATATCTCCTAGCTGGTGGAGAAAAAAAGTCCAATTCCTGTTTGCTTTTGTGCAGTTGAAACCTGATATAAGGGGAAATTTAAGTTTTAAACCTTCCTATATGCTCAAATCAGTCATCTTACTCCCTTCCACTAGGTTGAAAACACATACCCTCAGCCATATCTTCTAATCATCTCTTCCTGTATCACCCAAACATTAGGACAG